CTGATGGTAGAGAGAGGACATACAAAATGTCCTCTTCACACTCCACTTGGGCAGAGCATGTAGGCCCAAGTTTCATCCAGGGGGTTTTTGATCCCCAGCACCAAAAAAAAGAGTTATCGAAATTCATATGCTATTACTAAGCCTTCCCAATGTCACCCCATGACCGGGTCTTCCAAAGCAAAAGCCAGACACACCTGCTGGCCACCATATCTACTTCTCTCCATAGGTCTAAACAGCACCCCATTGCAGGGAGAGAGGAATCTACTGATTGTGCAATTAATCACAGGGGGATCAGTCCCCACCTTCTGTTACAAAACCTGTCATTTGCTGCCTTGCTACTGTGAGTAATAAGGGAACGAGCTGCAAGAACAATGTCCCCTGGGTGGCCTGACAATAGGCCTAATACCTTATACATGGAGTCCTGATTTACCAACATTCCCTTTCACCAGCAAAATGGAGACTAGCACCAAGTTCACAGACAGGGTCTACCAGGTCACTAGATCCAAGCTGGCCTTTTCAGCTGAGAAGAATATGAGCAGGCTGACATCTCATTCATGTTTCTAGGTGGAATGGATGTCAGGGTTTCACATGTTGATTAACAGATGTCAGGGATTCCTGCTGCCTTGTTGCTAAGGGAACTTTTGTGAAGATACCCTGAGGCAATAGACTCCAGAAGCCCTGCCCACCACTATAAAGTCCTGCAGAGTGACCGCTTGACCAGGCCAGCACACGGAGTGAGGTGGGGGTGTCTCCCGCTGGGTAGAGGCGAACAGAGCAGTAGCCAAAGGAAGATTTTCATGTGGGCCCTAGCTCCTAAATTAAAGAGCAGGATGACTTTGTGAAGATGGCACAATTTCAGTCCCAATTTCATACCTCGCGAGCCACCAGTCCTAACTACACCTTTTGTGAGCAGTTAATCAGAGCCTGAAAAAATATTGGTGTGAAGGTCAAGGTCACACCCATTTTAGGTGATTTTCATGTTACAGGAAAAAAGGGCCCAATATTAAAATCAATTTGTGTGCTACAGCAAGCATCCCTTAAACTTCGGGCAAGTCAGATACACTGTGTCAATTAATTATCAAAGCCTGGAAAATGCTGGACCAGTGTGTCAACCAACTAGTAGACAGGACAAGGCTTTGCTGTAAAACCAGACAAAAAAAAAAAAATTAAGCCCAAGCTGGCACTGAACTCACCATGTACGCAGACTGTCCTCCCCTGAGTGCTTGGATTACAGTATGCACCACCACCCCAAGCTTTGGGGTTAGGGAAATCTCATTTCAAATTCTAGCTGCATTGTTCACCAGACACCTCTATAAAGAAACGCCTGGAGTCTTAGGATGGCAGAAGAGAATCTCCAAGCAGAAGGGCATTTTTTTCTCCTTCTAGGGGCTCCCCCCTCAGTCCTGCCTGGTCCCTGCTGTCTCCCCTGTAACAGATTATCTGTGTCCTTCTTTCCCTCCTGAGGCAGCTCGTCTGCAAAGTGGCTCTTAATGAACCCTGCCTCCCTGTTTCCATACCTGGATCCACATCCTTCAACACTGCCTCCAGACTGGGCCCTGTGACACATTTTACCAACAGATAGATTGTGGCAGAAATGATGTGCCAGAATTGGGCTAAAGACTTAAGAAGGTCTGAAGTTACTCAGGAACAGAGATCAGGAGGATCATAGTTTGAAGCTAGCCTGGGCAAATAGTTCGTGTGACCCTACCTTGAAAATACCCACATAAAAAGGGGTGGTGGAGTGGCTCAAGGTATAGCCCCTGAATTCAAGCCCCAGCACTGCAAAAACAAGAAGAAAAAGAAAGAAAAAAATTTATTTCTCACAGTTCTGGAGACTAGGAAGTCCAGTATCAAGGTGTCAGCATCTGGTGAGGGTTTTCTTTCTGTATGAACCCACATAGAAGGTGGAAAATCAGGAGACTAAGAGCTCAGACTCACAGGCTTAAGCCCTTTTGTAACTGGTGTTTATTCACTCATGAGGCTCATGCCCTCATATGTTGCACGGAGAACTAAGTTTCTAACACAAATTTTGAGGGAACATATTCAAACCATAACAATAGCTGGGTGTGGTGACACACACCTCTAATCCCAGCACTCTAGAGGCTAAAGCAGGAGGATTGAGAGTTCAAGGCCAACCTGGCCTACATAGCAAGACTGCTTCAAAGAGCGAACAAGCAGACAGCAACAAAAAATCATAGCAGTACCTCTGAGGTCTAGACCCTCCAGGCAGATTATAGTATTCCAATAGCACCTCGTTAAAAGAAATTTCTTTTGTGTTTGCATTCCAACCTTATTACCCCTCCAAAATTATTTCCCAAAAGCTCTTAGAATTTGGGCAGATGTCTATGGCGTTCTCTAGGTCCCCAATTTCTTCTCTTTAGTGAAAGAGCAGGCCACAGGAATTCATGGGCCCAGTTAGGCCTGACCAGCCCTCAGACCTGTTCTGGTACCATGTCTGACTCTCAAAGTCTTCCCTGGGATGGAGCTCTGGCCTCCCTCCTCTAAACCTTCCCCAGGAACTGTGAACCCCAGAGGGATGAATGGTAATGTCCCCACATGGGTGGGTCCCCGGTCTATGGAGGTGATTTGAGACAGAACACACTCCACAGCCTTTAGCCCTGGTCTCAGCTCTACCTCCACTAACTCACTCTTCTACCATGTCTCTCAAATGAGGGACACTCCTCCCCTTCTTTGTGGCTGAAGACACCATCAAGATTTTTCTAGCTGCTCATATCTAAGGGCCTTTATATCCCAGAGCTATTAGGTCTTGTTGTGGTTCAGATCTTGAATGTCTCCAAAGGCCCATGTGCTAAAAGTTCAGTCACCAAGCCTAGGGGGAGGAAGTTAGACCACTGGGCAATCTATCCCCTTCAGAGAGGGTACTGACTTTCCTCTCTCTTTTTGGTTCAGCCACCATGAGGTAAGTAGCTTTGCTCCGCTGTGTACTCCATGCTGTGATGTTTTGCCTCGCTATAGGGCCAAGTGACTATGGACTAAAACCTCTGAAGCAATGAGCCAAAATACACCTTTCCTGCTTATATGCTGTTTCATCTCAGGCATTTTGTCACAGCAATAGAAAGATGACTAGCACAGGCTCATCTCCTTTCTTGGGGTAGCTGGCCTCCCTGAGGTCCTGAGTAGTCAGGTGCCTTATAGCCAGAGTCCTTGGGCCTACCATGGTCCTCCACATTGCTCTGTTGGGCTGAGGTGTTCCTGGAGTCCACCTACTGGAAGTCAGGTGTGGGCTGCACCATTTCGACAATTCCTGGGAGCGCTGACCAAAGAGGTGTCAAAGAATCAGGCCGTCCATCATGCTGGTCTCCTCACAGAGACAGGCTGGTCACCAGATATGAAAGCTTTCTCAGAATCAGTCCCAACCCCTCTCCATGATGAATGCTTCCTACAAAGCCAGGCCTCTCTCTTCCCCTTTCTTCATCTGAACAGGGATGACATCCTTGGGGAGTATCCATTTTGCGCACACACACTGTTGTCAGTGCCTCACACCACTCCACCAAGACGGGGTTTCCTGGTATCCCTTGTTCCATCAGAGGGTAAAAGATACATTGGTTGGGGAGTACACTGGAAGCGCCATTCTCAACTGTGTGCTCACCACCCCCTGGGCCCCAGGAGGCCAGTGGGGTCTGTTCTGTCTGTACTGTCTCCTTAGCAGCTCCCCTGGCCTTCTGAAGTCCATACCTCCAGCGAGCTCAGCAATGAGCACCCCACCAGCCAACATCCATGAGGGGTACCACCTCCAGTGCGTGTGGGCTCTTTCTCTGGTTCCTGGCTTCGGTAAGCACCTGTTGGGCACTGCCTGTCTCAGAATTCTATATGCTGGATACTCTACTTACCAGCCACTGTCTTTGGAGCTCTGCCTCCTCCAACTCATGGCGTAGCAGAATCACCTCTGTCATACTCAGTTTGCTTGTCAATAAAATAGGGATAGCACCTCACCCTTCACAGAGCAGGCAGCAAGATTTTGCAAATATACACGACACCCTAGTGCCTAGCAAGTGCTCAGCAAATGGAGGTCCTTCACAGTGGGGACTTCTGTTGCAAGTCTGAAAGGTCCTTAGGCACTAGAGACTTCCTAAGTGTGTGTGTGCCAGGGGATATGACTGGACATCCAGGGCTGTCCCAGATGATAGTTCTGCTTTGTCCCCAGGGCCTGGTCCACCCTCCCTTCCCTTCCCTTTCTGAGAAAAAAACAGAGTCACTAGTCATACTAACACCCACCCAGCCTCATCCCCACCCAAAACAGCTGGCTAAGCCCAGTCAGGGACAGTATTTCCACCAGAACTCCCAAAATATGAGTCTCTCCCAGAATTTTCAAGCTAGAAACCAGGAGGCTCCAGATATTCCTGAAAGAAGCCGACACTTGCTTTCTTTTACATCTTATTCACAGGAAGGGAACTGGGAAAAGCCAAGAAACACACCTGAACCTCTCCTACAGGTACGGGGGCTCAAAGCACAGAACCAGGAGTTCCCAAGAAACTGCCAAGAGCCCATCAAAGCTCATCAGCCTTCCGCAGCAACCCTGAAACTCTGCTTATCCATTTGGGAGGGAGGGTGCTGTTCTCCTCTGGATCTGACAGCCATCACGTGCTTCTAGGATGCAGGCATGTTTTTGATGTTGCCACAAGCCACTTCTCAGGCCAACTCACCCTATAACCATTTCACCCCTATCTCTCTTTTTCTCCCCTCCGCCCCTCCCACCATGACTTGCATGGAGCATTTTCATTCAAAATTTGCTACTTTGTTCTTTTTGAAGTAGGTCGGGATAAAATCATAAATTCAGACTCCATGATTTGGGCCCGGCTTCACCAGAATGTTTAAGAATAGTTACACAATTGGAGGGTAACCTTTAATTCAGTCTTTACAACAATCCTGGGGTCAGACAGCCTTTTATAAAGTCACTGCTCCCCCAGCTCACACACACACACACACACACACACACACACACACACAAAGGACTTTAGAAACTTCAGATCTCACTCGGCCTGTGACCATGAGCTCAGTGATTAGAGGACAGGGAGGCCTCGCAATTGTCACCCAGACAATAAACAGCCAGCTGACTTGGCTCAGCAGGTCCTGTGTAGCCTTGGGGCCAAGCCAGAGCTCCAGGAACAAGCCACTTTCAGGTTCCGAACCCCAGGGGAGGGGACGGGGGAAGGGGATCAAGCCTGCTGATGGGTCTAGGGTTGGTGACCAGTAACTCTCAGCTGACCAGCAAGCAAGTGGGCGGCCTCCCGGCAGCCAGACAACCTGACCCGGAGCAGCAGGACCGTCCATGGGTCAGCAGGCTCCGATACCTCGGTGGAGAAGCAAGGCTGCGAGGCCACCTCTTGGTCCCCCATCCTCGGTGCGTCTTCCCAAGACCACTAGACTCGGGCGGGCCCCTGCCACTGCCCGCAGCGCACCCGCCAGTCCAGAACTCGCAGGCAACAAGTTCTCGCTTCCTCCGAGCGGCCACGATGTGCTCGGGAGGCCCGGCGCGAGGGGAGCGCTCCCGGGCTGCCCGTGCTGCCCTCACCTCCGGAGGCGCCCGCTGCTTTCGCCGCCCCCTAGAGAGCAGAGGACAGAGGGCAGCGGCTGGGGCGGTGGCGGCATCCCGGGTTTGGGCAACAGGTATGCGAGTGCACGGAGGACCGCAGCCGGGGTCTTCCCGCCCCGGGCCCCTCGCCCCATACCTCTAGCAACTGCACGTAGCTTGCGGGGAACCAGCCGCGGAGCCCGTCCTCCTTCTCGCCTTCCCACCAGCCGCCGTCCGGGACCTGCAGCAGCGTGATCAGCTCTCCCGCCGTGAAGCGGAGCCCCTGGCTGTGCCGCTCCCCGGAGAAGGGGTACAGGGTCCGGCAGCGCGCGCCGGACATGGCCTTGGCGCCGGGGCTCACAGCGCAGCCTGCATCCCTGCCGAGCCCCGCGGGCTGGCCAGCGGCTCCGCGGGGTCCCAGGCGCCGTGCGCTCCGGGCTCCCGCGCTCTGGGCGCGCGCCGTCTCGGGGGTGCGCGGGGGGTCCCCGGGCAGGCAGGGGACGCGCGATCGGCGCAGGGAAGCTGAGAGTCGCTGGCTTGGCAGAGCGAGCGGCGACGCCCCCGGGCCGGGCGGCTCGCGGATCCCGGCTCTGGGCGGGGGGGCGGGGCTCAGGGGGAGGAGACCCAGGGGCCGCGGGCTCCCGAGACAACTTCCCGGGGACGCGGAGCGCGGGCTGCCGCCACCAGGGCCGGCCGGAGCCCGGCCACCGCGGCGCGCGGAAATGCGCGACTCCCCCGGGAGTGGGGACCCCGAGCATCCCCCCTTCTGCAGGACTCCGCGGACCGCGAGGCAGCAGCGCTGGGGAGGACGTGGACAGGGGCTGGCGGCTGGTGGCCGGGCGGGGGCTCTCCTCTCCCAGGCGACGGGGGCGGGGCGGGGGCCGGGCCAGGGCGGCCACGCCCGCCAAGGGCTGGGCGCTCCCTGGCACAGGGGCAGGTCACTGGGGAGAGGGACTCCGGCTCACGCCCCCGCCACCCAGGGCCGCTGGGACAGAAACGCCCCTCTGTGCCTGTCCTGTAGGCCTGGTGGCCCGGCACCCGCGGGCACCGCCCCCGAAGTGCCTGTAAGGGAATGTGTTTGTAGCCGTCATTGTAGTAGGTGAACCTGGGGCTGAACTTGACTCACCGGAAACCGAACAATGGGTGAAAGACAGGTTGAGAGCTGGAGCCAGAGCCAGGAAGCCGGGTGGCAGCGTGTCACAGCGGAGGGACGGAGGGACGAGGTGGGGAGCAGAGGGAGGAGATGGAGATGGAGGCGAAGTTGGTAGAATTGGAAATCAGGTTGAGGGGGATAAATGGAGATAAGGCTAAAGGTGAGAGCGACAACCTGCTTAGCTTTACAGCTCAGGGTCCAACCTTCCTGCAATCTAGATGGGCCGATTGAGGAGTGTACAACCATATTGTCAGTCAACAAACATTACTAGGGGGCTTCGGGGCTCCACGCGGTGTGCCAGGTACTACAAAGATCGTTTCCCTAAGTCCCTGTGGTCTCAAGGGACTCGTGGACCTCAAGTGCTGAAAAGTTGATCTTGAGCTAAGGGTACAGAACAAAAAGGGCAGATTTTTTTGTTTGTTTGAGGCTTTTTTTTTTTTTGGTAGCTTACTCTAGGAAAAATTAAAGTGCATTTCCTAACCTGTAAATCTCTGGACTCTTTAATATCTCCACATACCTAATGCAAAACTCTGAAGTCCAAAATGCCACACTGTGATGCCACAGTGGAAATTTTCACAACTGATCCCAATATGAGAAGTCAAAGTCAAAAGGCAGATGGAGCCAGGCAGGTGGTTCACCCCTGTAATCGAATCCCAGCACCGAAGAGGCTGAGGCAGAAGGATCTGGACTGGAGGTTCCAGGCCAGTCTGGGCTATGTAGTGACACTTTGTCTCAAAAGAATTAAAAGAGAAAAAAAAAAAAAAAAAAGCCCTTAAACAGAGTTACAGGGCTGGGGGCGTGGCTCAGTGGCAGAGAGCTTGCAAGGCCCTGGGTTTGATCCCCAGCACTGCCAAACAAAAACCAAACCGAGCTACATTCCTTGATACAAAACAGCCACTAAAAATAACTGGACTAACCAAGTTTTGAAAAGAATAAAATGTCCTGTGTCAGGGAACTGTGTGACTTTCTGCAAGCAGGCATCACCATGTGGCCCTGCTCAGGAAGGGCGACTGATCCACAGCCATCCCGAAAGACAAAATTCTCTGTAGCAACCCTGAACTCCACGAACACTTGGGAACTCTAAGTCTGCATAGCATCCCAGACATGTGGCACCAAATGACCCATCACAGACGTTCCCAAACCACTATTGATCTTCATGTCTTCAACTAGTTCAGGTCACTTCTGTACTTCAGAGAGCCAATGAGGGGTGTCCCTAGTTTAGAGGTAAAGGAACTGGGCTCAGAGGGTGTGACTTGACCACTATCACACTGCCAGTCAACAGCAGAACAGGGCTTTGAACTTGGGCCTGGATTATTAAATATTACTTCCTCTAGCCTATCCTGCCAGAGTCTGGAAATGTGGGTCTGGTGGCTCACTCCCAAATAGCATCTTAAGAAAGGACAGCCCTGGACTGGCAGAGTGGCTTAAGAGGTAAAGCACCTGCCTAGCAAGCCTGAGGCCCTGAGTTCAAACCCCAGTACCACCAAAAAAGAAAAGAAAGAAAAGGCCATCTGGTTGGGTGTACCCAAATCAATGATCATGGTAAATATTGCCTATCTTCTTTTTTTTTTTTTTTTTTGAGACAGAGTCTCCCTATGGAGCCCAAGCTGATCACAACTTTCTATTTGGCCAAGGCTAGGGTGAACTCAAAATCCTGCTGCCTCAGCCTCCTGAGTGCTGGAATTACAGGCATGTACCACCATAACTGAATCTTCTTTTTGAACTAAGTTTTCCAGGACAAAAATAGAGTAGAAAATGAAATATAGCCAGGCATGGTAGCACACAACCGTAATCCCAATGCTCACAAAGCAGGTGGGTCATAAGTTTGAGGCTTCAGCTACAAAGCTAGACTCTGTCTCAAAAACAACAGCAACAACAAAAAGGCCAGGTACCGGTGGCTCACGCCTGTAATCCTAGCTACTCAGGAGGCAGAGATCAAGAGCATCATGGTTCAAAGCCAGCCTGGGCAAATAGTTCAGAGACCCTATTACAAAAAGCCCATCACAGAAAAAGGCTGGCGGAGTGGTTCAAGCAGTAAGAGCACCCGTCTGGCAAGCATGAGGCCGTGAGATCAAGCCCCGATACTACCAAAAAAAAAAAAAAAGAAAAAAAGTTAAACATAAATTTACCATCCTCAGTTCCTTCCTACGTATCTACCTAAGAAAAATGAAAGCATATATCAACACAAAACTTGTAATTCATTGCAGCCCTATTCATAACAGCCAAAAAGTGGAAATAACCCAAATGTCCATCAGTTAATGGATAGACAAGATGTGGTAACCATGGGATAGTTATTCTGCCATGAAAAGCATGAAGAACTAACAGGAGCACAACATAGCGCACATCACACATATTATGCTAAATGAAAGACGCCGTGTGCAGAAAGCCACATACTATGTGACTCCTGGCGTATGAAACATCCAGACAAGGCAATCCATAAATACGTTGGTGGTTGCCTGGGGACAGGAATAAGCAAAAGAACACAGGGATTCTTTTTGGGGTAGTGAAAACACGCTAAAATTAGATTATGGTAATGATTGCACAACTTGGTAAATCACCGAACTGAGACTTAAAACAAGTACAGTTTTGGTGTGCAGATTTCACTTCAATAAAGCTGTTACCGTAAAACAAAAATAAAGACCTCCTTTACCCAAATGTACTTTTCTTCGCTCATGTGTACTAGTTCAAAGAGAAATTGAAAATATGTTATAAAATGAACAATGCCCTAGGCCTGGGGTTAGAGATAAGTGTGGAAGCATCTATAAAAAATTCCTTTAGGTCAACAAAGAAAAATGGCTGGACATTGCATGCATGCCTGTAATCCCAGCACTCAGGAGAGGCTGAGGCAAGAGGATTGTGAGTTTGAGTCTAACATGTGCTATGTAGCAAGAACCTGTCTCAAAAAAGAAAAAAAAAAGAAAAATAGATGACTATCTTAGTCCATTTTGTGCTGCTATAACAAAACACTTGAGGGTAGGTGCTTTACAAAGAAAACAGGTTTATTTTGGCTCATGATTCTACCTATAAGCAGGAGGCTGCAAATGAGGGCTGGCAGAGTGGCTCAAGTGGTAGAGCGCCTTATCTAGCAAGCATGAGGCCCAAACCCCAGTGTGTATGTGTGAAGTCGAAACACAAATCAAAATCATATGGAGGTACCAATATATAATCTCCTGGTGGTGAGAGTAAAAACAGAAAGTGCACGTATTGGTAAGGATGTGGTACATTTGCTACACACTGCTAGTGAGAGCCTGTTAGAAAACTGGCGATGGTTCACAAAGATGAAAGCAACGTCCACCAAAACCCATCAGTTCCCTCCAGGTATGTACCCAACTGGTATGTGTTCACACGCTCACCCAGAGACATGTGTTGGGCAGCTTCACCTTGCTGTGATAAAATGCTTGAGAGAGTCAATTGAGATGGAGGAAAGGTTTATTTTTGTTCACAGTTTCAGAGGTTTTAATCCATGGTCCATTGGCCCCCATTGCTTTAGGGCCTGTGGCAAGGCAGTGCACCGTGGTAGGAGTGTGGGGCAGAGGTAGCCTCTTCACCTCTCTGCTGGGAAGCAGAGAGATAAAGGAGGGGCTGGGGGTCTCAGTATCTCCTTCAAGGGCACTGCCCCATGACCTTACTTCCTCCTACTAGCCCCCTTGCCCTCTTCTAAAGGTTCTACCATCCCCACTAGCACCACAGGCTGAACCAGACCTTCAACACATGGGTCTTTGGGAGACACTTATCCAAACTGTAGAATACATTCTGCAGTGTTTTTAGCAGCATTAGTCATACTAGTCCCAACCCCAAAACAACCCCAGCCCCCCAACAATAGAATGTATTAACTGTGACATGATTTTACATGGAAATATCTACCCTTTGAATTCCCTGATGTAATGCAGAGCAAAAGAAGCCAAACGTTAAAGAGGACACACAGTGAGCTAGGATAGATAGATAGATAGATAGATAGATAGAGACAGTGAAAATATATTTCAATCAATATTTAAAGGGCCACACTCTGACACTGGAACAAGGAGAGCCAGAGCAGAAGGCCCCCCATCTTTTAGATGCTAAGTTACAAAAACTGGGAGACAAAGAGGAGCTACCTGCTTCTGCTTTCCTCCTGAGATGTTAAGAGCTGCAAGGATCCTGGGATGGGTGGAGAAATAACCACATTAGGAAAGGGAAGTTCTAAAGCATCCTATTGTCTCTGATTTAGGGTACGATTTGGGAGGATGACCCTCCCTGTCAGCCATCTCAGCCACAGAGCCCATTATCTTTGATCATGTGTATTCACCCAGCTCTCCACTATAAAACTAAGAGTTGGGGAGCACCATTTGGAGTCTTTGCTCCCATTTCCTGCGTGGGGAACAGGAAATGTTTCTCTCTCTTCCTGCCTCCCCCCACCCCGTCTATACTTTATCCTGTTATACTAAAATAAATCCTTGCTAAAACTTTCACCTTTGAGACTCCTTGTTGCAAGACACCTTGAAATGCTTTTCAATGTTTGTGGATCTCAAGGACCTGAGATTTTGCGTGGATACTGGGAAGCTGTGGGAGCCCCCTCAACCATCCTCTGGTGACAACAGCACGATCCATGTATACGAAATTCCTCAAAGTCAGGAGGGTAGTTATGGGGGTGGGGTTTAGGATGCTGGTCATAATCTGTTTCTTGATCCAGGTGTTAAATCCACAGAGTTGAGCTCCAGTCCACACTCATTTGAGCACTTTTCTACATGGATACTATGCTCCAAGACAGTTTGTTAAGAAACAAGACGAAGCAAAATACCAAAAATTATCCTTGCATCAAAGAAGTTACAATCTCAATTCGAGAGTGCTATTCTCCGTACTTGTGCAGCTACCTAACAAGTGTGAGGCCATGAGTTCAAACCCCAATACTGCCAATAAATAAATAAATAAATAAAAAGACATCGGAAAGGAAAACAATGT